TGTGCTCTTCCGATCGAAATTTCAATGAAAACGATTTCTGGCAGATATAAAACCGTTTGTTTCTTATTCTAGAGGGTTCAAAGGATTTTTTAAGCCAATAAAAAAAAATCGATTTTTTGAAATTTCTACTGTGGTGTAACCCCTTAATAAGAAACGTATCGTGGCATCGTCTTGTACTTCATCAAGCATTGAATGATTCATCAAGCTTTCGTCACTTTCTCGTTTCAAGCGAGTTGTCGCATATTGTCTGCGTTTCAAAACGAACGCTCTTTTAAAGTAAGAGCAGTAAATTAGTCCACTATTCGTGGAAAAATGAAAGAAGACTATATTGTTATTGGTTCGAATGCTGTAACTAATCGAATTTGCGTCTGAAATTTAAGACCTACAAGCCAAACGGACTGTTCACAACAGAAGTAAACTTGTCACTTTAAATCCATTCCTAGATGAAACAGGAATAGTTCGCGTCGGTGATCATTTTCGACATGTGGATGTAAATTATTCAATGTAACACCCAATCGTCATACTCACAAACATCCGCTTATAGACTTAATTATTTGAGATTTGCATCTTAAACAATTGCACATTGGAGCCATTAGACCTCAAGGTCTTTTTGCTCACATGCATAGTTCGTATTGGCCGCTCTCCGGGCGGCAAGCAGTCGAAAAGTACTACGGAAATATATTGCATGTTTTCGGATATGTCTAAGTAACCCAATCCAATTGATGGGCGATTTGTCTAAAGCTCGCGTAACTCCAGCCCGTGCGTTCAGCAATTCAGGTTTAGATTATGCAGGACCATTTTCTATAAAATTAATCAAAAAAACAAAGCCGCGAAGGTCTAGACTTATGTATCTTCGTATGTTTTGTAACCCAGGCTACATATTTAGAATTAATTAATCAGCTATTTGACTACGCATTTCTCAATGTACTAAAGAGGTTTATTGCGAAATGCGGTCGATGTGCAAATCTGTTTTCGGAAAATAGTACCAACTTTATAGGTGCAAACAACGAACTTAAGGCACTCTCGGACATGATAGAGAAAGAACGTCAACACGTTGAATGATTCTTAGCGGCTCAAGCAATACAGTGGAAATTCATTCCGACACATTCTCCACATGTAGACGGACTCTGGGAGACTGCTGTTAAATCAGCAAAAACCTATGTAAGAAGGATTATTGGCAACAGTTTATTAACGTTCGAAGAACTGGGCATAATTTTTGCACAAATTGAGGCAATATTGAATTCGCGTTCTTTGTCCCATTACAAATGACCCTCCAGACTACGATATATTTACACCAGGACAACATAGTCTTTATTGTCGGCGAGCCATTGAACTCCTTCCAAGAACCTATAGAGCTCGATCTACTGGAAGTGCCGACAAACCAACTAACACGATTCCAGTTGCTGTTGCAATTACAACATGTTGCGGCAACATTTCTGGAGACGTTAATCTAATGAATATCTCACGCAGCTTCAAAACCGATATAGTGATAAAAGCCTAGATATGATAATATCAAAGTCGGAGCGCTCGTACTTTTAAAGGACTATGGTTTACCTCCATTGAAACGCACGCTGGCAGTGACGGATATGTATGCGTTGTTAGCGTTAAGACAATAAATGGCATAACAAAGCGTGCTATTAATAAGATTTACGTTCTTCCAATTGAATATTAATTATCACATTTTGTATTTTCTTTGTGTTTGCCCAGCGAAATTTAGATAATCTTCAGAGTATTATAATTATGTTCTCTTACTTTGATTCACTGTCCATGTTCACTTTTCGTAGAACTAATTGTTTTTATGTAACCCACAGCATATTTATTGTTACGATCACATTCGTTAATAATACATTGAAAATGTTAAGGAAAGCGGTAATGTAAAGGAGAAATATAATATTACGAGTAAACAGAGAAGAGGTCTAGGCTGAATCCTTGTCCCTCATTCTACATATTCAAAGTTTAATATTTATGAGGATTACCTTACGGTTTTTACAAATGGTAGTAAATCGATTTCATAAGAAAAAATCAACATGATACCCTCAGTTAAAATTAAATATCTTTTATGAAACCTAGGGAAATCAAATAAATAATTTTTATAATTTTATTTAATTAAAATTAAAAAATATAAAATAATACTAAAATTGAATAAAATCATTTATAAAGTATACTTTATGATTAATTACAACTATTAAATATATTGTTTTATTTATTTTAAGATACTTAGAATCTAAGAATCAAATTAAGAATTGAAGGAATTATGATCTCGTTATTCCAACTTCAGTTAATGATTGCAAGTCCGACATTGATTCGGCACTCATTGTCAGTTTAAATGGCTGAATAATGGATTTAAAAATTCATAACTTATTAGGCATCAAGATGCAGCTTCTAGTGACCGTAGAATGCGCTCTCAAATTTATTTTAGTTTATTTATTTTGTTATTTGATATTTTTCTGGAAATATGAATTTTTATCTTTAGAATAATCTAGTTAACTAGTGTCCTTACTCTATATACATATAAGAAGAATACTTTGTTAGTCTCCAAGATTATTGTATTCACTGAGAGATACAGTATACCTTTACAAATATGTGTCCAGTTCTACATATAATTGTTTGATCTGTTCGGCGGGACAGGGATGGGATGAATCCGCACGCTAGATCTTCCTCTCTTTTTTTCCGTTCTTTCTAAGCATATGCTTAATCGGCTATACACACGAGAAAAATCTTGCTTTCTTCTGTTCATATCGAAAAAATAACGTCGGAATTTATACTAAGGGCAGGATCTACATGGATCAAACGCGCAACGCGCGCGCTTGCCGACTTTGACGCGACTCTGCGAAATTAAAAACCTGCGGATTTTTTCACACGTATACGCAACACCGAAAGCACATTCGTTTCTTACGTTACTATTATCGCACGAATTATCGCGCGCCACAAGCTTCAGCACAATCTTACGATTTACATCGAGCAGCACAGAATTGTGCTCTGTCGTACGTAAGGCAACACAACGAGAGTCTCATATATGTATATCGTAGTTATGAACCGTAAAAAAATTATCATGAATGAACAATTTATTATGATAACATTTTAATCATATATATATATATATAAAATATATATAAATATATATATATATATATCCCTGTTAAAAAAAATCGATAGAAAACCATGGGAACCGATAGGATCTGCCAAATATTTTATAGTGTCCTATCGAATCTATCCACTTTCCACTTTTTCTATTCCGAAAGAAATGTTATTGTTTTTTATCGTTTTCTATCATTATCTGATAAAAGCGATTTTAATCGTTAAAATATCAATAGAATTTCTATAATAACTTATTGTTTTATATCGTTTTAATGAAATTTATCATGAATAAATGATTAACATGTTATCATAATAAATGTTATCATAATAAATTGTTTATTCATGATAATTTTTTTACGATTCATAACTACGATTAAAAACGATTAAATAGTTTTCTATCGTTTTCTATCGATTTTTTTAAACAGGAATATATATTATATATATATATATATATATATATATATATACATATCATGCACATACGTACATACATACATATATATCGCATTGTGATTTGTACTTAATCGGAAATGAGAATGGGAATTCATGCCGGCCACAATAAATCCCCCTGAAAATTTTGCTTCGACGAGTTATCGATTTACCGGCACGGATCTAAATTAAGTCAAGCTTCCGCGTGACAGATTTGATTCGTGGCAATCCCCGAAATTGATTCGCTTAACTGCGCTAAACTCTCCAATTGACAATCCTCCCCTTGGTGAATCGACGCTTTCGTACGTCCCTGTCGTCTAGATAAATTTGCGTGAGAAGTGTGAAAAATGTTCTTATTAGAAATTATGTTCACGGCGAGGACCTTCCCTGGTTTCGGAAAGACGCTCCGGTAATATAATACGAAGGAACTTATTGGTATCAGAAAAGAATATCGTTAATCAAAACATCGGTCGTAAAGGAAACAAAATTCGGGCGGGCAATCATTTTCGATTTTCGAGCAAACGCTCTGTCCGTTTAATATCCGTAAAGTGGCTCCTAAGACGAGCAATATTATTATATATACATTTATATTGTACAATGTGATCAATATTATTGTACAATTATATTATACATATACATATTACTGATGCTCTCTTTAGATAATTTAAATAAACTTCCAATACAGCCTACAGATGAGCAATAATGTTGTACAATATTAAATATTGTGCAATAATATTGATCGTCAAGGGGCCGCTTAAGAAAATAAAAAACAAGCCGGCTTCTATAGACATGGAATTTCGCGCAAAATTTGCTACACTTGACAAATTTTCACAGTCGTATATCATCTATGTTGTACTCGCAACTCATACACATATATCACTCGTCTCTTTGTTTCTTCCCCTCTTTCTCCCTCCCCCCTCTCTCTCTCTTTCTCTCTCTTTTTCTCTTACATAGTCACATTATTCAACAATTATTACGTTACGATAAATATCTTAGACACGAACAGCAATATCTTCTGTCGGTCGTTGTCAACGCACGACTGTACGCAATCTACGATAACAGCGTTCTACATCGTGAAAACGTAAACACCCTTAAAAAAGTGTAAACTAACAAGGCAAAGTCTTCATAAACCATTAATCGCTTTATCGCACGATTTTCTATCTCTATCTCTTTTCAGCCTTTTTTCGTTTTTTTCTCCTTTTATTTATCTTATCTTTTCCCCAAACGCGAATCTACGGTCGTCAGCAAAGTTGATAGCTCTTCTTTTTTTAATTTTTACAGCCCGTTGTGTAACTTTATTGTCACATGTAACATTTATACAATCTGTTACGAATTAATTATCGTTCGGTTGTTTGCAACTTGAGATGCGACTCTACGCTTCGGAAATGAGCAAAAAACGTAGGTAATATAAATGTCGGGTAAAGTGGTACACAAATAAGAGATAATAAGAGCGCGTGAGGGAGAATTACATCTCACCTCGAATACGATTTGTAAATGAAGTCGTAAACTTAACGTATGTGCGCGCGTGCGTGCGTGTGTATGAATGTGTAACGGAAACGATTCCCTACACGTTCAATGACATACATTTATCGAGTTAAGGGGATCCTAAGGAAATTGAAGAATTCCACGATATCGCTGTTTTACCGACTATTTGTGCGTATGTGTGTGCAATATTGATGTGTAATGTGTTGATATTTACTACTACATCAATATCGCGCACATTTTACAAATTTTCAGGCACTTAATCTTATTAGGAATCTGAATCTAACTCTAAGAACTCAACATTTTATTTTCGTGTAATCCAATCCATTGCATATCAAGCCATTTTTATTTTGTATAAATGCACTCCAGAATTTTTGTATGAAGCAAATATTGACTCAAGTTGAGAGCTCTAGACGCTATATATGTTGGACTAATTGCAGTAAAAACCGATAAAAGAAGTATAAATTTCTTAAATTTTTCTTACGACATAAAGTCAACCGACATCACGATTTAGATTGATGCCTATACTTTAATTGTGGAAAAGGATTTATAAATCGTATAAAAACAATTAGAAAAATAGTATGCTGAAAAATAATCGCATTCGGTCAATAAAACAGACGACTTTGGATCTCCTTAAATCTGTATCGAAATCGGGAAAGTACGCATGTTATTATACTCGCATTATATTATTCGCTTAAATTAACATTCACATTCAAATTGTATTTAAATATCCGTCGATGTGTTGTCACCTTGGCATGATAAAGCCGCCAGAAACGGTGCTATATTTGAAATCCGGTAAAATACGATGATTTATGTAACATTTAAGAAAGGCATCTTCATACCCTTCGCTGACCTTAATATCGAATACGTCTAGGGCGCTGCTTAAACAAAGTACGCGCGCAATCGTACGCGTACGATTTTTACAAGGAGATAACTCAAAGTCACACGCGAGTTTTCTTATACTTTCTATCAAATACTGACGCATTGAAGTGATGTCACGCGCTTGCGAAAAGCGAAATAATATATATCGTTCAAGACGACGACGACGACTCGCGAACTCGCCTTTGCGCATCCTTTGTGCATTTTGTGACAGCTTAGTATCGCAGTTTTACTTCGATCGATCTCTCAACGATACACGTCTCAGTTTTCTTAACTACAATTATCTTTAGTTTTGCCAACGTGCTAACTGTGCGTCATTCGAGAACTTTCGTATTAAAAGAAATAAGATATTGATTTATATGGATAGACAGCACGCAATAGCACGCATATCCAAAATGGGTCATAATTAAAACGTCTTATGATGTCTAGATGATGTCTTTTGGACGTCTTATGTCCCACTTTTGGAAAATTTTTTGCTGTTTTGGAAAATTGTGCTCTCATGATAGCTGCCGTTACGAAAATAAACGGAGACACGAAATACTCGCCGCCGTTGTCGCCCCTTTCGCTTTTCGCGCGTCCTCAAATCCATTAAAGATTTTGATTTCAAGAGATATATCGTGTACATTTATAGTAATTACGAAGATATCGCTATCACAACGGCGTGAAGACAGTGATCGATGAGTTTTGATTAATACGGCGTTTCATACAAAGACGGGCAATCTCCTGTCCTTTAAGGGATACAATCTGAATATCTCCAATTTCTTCTTTCTTCCTTTTCTCCAATTCTTTCGCGCCTTCTTATTTTCGTCGAGACACTGTCTTCGTCACAACCATACCTGCCGATACAAGAAAAGATAATCATGATGGCATTAGAAGAAAGATTTAAGTCGATTCTTGATCCGCCTTGGCGCGTGAAATGAAACAAAGTTCTTTACCTCCTCACTATTGACCACTAGTCAAACCTTCTCACCGCTTGTTCGCGGCTTCTCCTTCTGCTCCTTATCCTTGTTTCGCTCCTTTTCGCGCTCCCTCTCCCTTTCCGCCTTCCTTTCTCTCAGCATCTCCGACCTTCGTGCTCTGTGCAGACTTCCGGACGGAAAGGTCGAGTCCTCGACGGCCGCGGCTGCGGCTGCCGTTGCACCTCGCTCTACGGCCGTCTGCTCAATAAATTACTCCAATTTATTTCCCAAAACGCTCTCTCAGCGGACTACAAATACGAAAATACGGACAGACTTTCAAGTCAACTCTGGAATATCCGCAGTTTCATTTTCTATCCGTGTTTATATGATACACATCTAAAAGATTCTATGAGAAGAGAAAAAGAAATATTTGATAACGCAAAATATCTCAGAACGGAGAAAAGATAGTTTAATTCAAATACACCAAATAGTCCAAATATAATAAATGGAAAAAATTACTTGTTTTAAATACATAGATTAAATTATAATTTCTAATTTCTAAATAGAAAGAAATAATTATTTAAATTCTAACTGAAAAATAACGGTTTTTTGTTCTTAAAAATAATATTTTGTAATAAAATATTATTTTTAAAACAAATAAAAAGAATGTTTTATTCGAAACACAATTATTTACCAATAGAAAATCATTTTATTAATACTATTCTAATAAATCTAATTAATCTAACAGTTGTTAATAAGTGAACTTTTTTTCAATTTATGATATGAATGCTAGAAATATGTAATTTATTGATTATCACTTATCTCAATCTTTTTATATCAATTAATACATCATATATATACATATACAATAATTTCTTGCCACAAATACAAATTTACTTAAAAGAAATCAATTCAAACGTTAAAACGCTTCACTAAAGTTACTCAAGCGAAAGCATTATGTGCTTGATATTGTCACCAGATGAACGCAGTGGAGTGCATATTTCTCATAAGTAAATCATACAGAATAAAATAAGAAGCATTATAAGATTCTTCACCTATGTTATTTTACGAAATGATTTCGTAAAGAATATAATTAATTAATTACTTCTAATAATTTATTAATTTTTCTATGTGTATTTCTTACTATAACTTTATATATAGTATGCAGCAAATAATGTTTTAAATGGATAAAAACTTAATTAGTATATTTTATTAGTATATTTAGAAGGAAATATTATTAATTTACAAGAATGAATATTTTTAATGTAAGAAAATTTATTGTCTCAAAAATAAAGTTATTTTTCGTGAGAAATATCTTCTTAATTTATTTGTTTCTTAATAAAAAATATAGTATTTCTTAAAAATAACGTTTTCTTAATTTTATTTAATATTTTGTATTTTTTTTATAAAATACAATTTTTCTTTTAAAAGATAATTCTAGAAAATGTTTGTTAGTAACAAAGTTGTTTCTATAAATCAATTAAATGTCATAAATCATTTGAGAAAGTTATTTATTTGAAGCAAAGAAATTTTACTCGAAACAAATAAATTTTTTTCTGTACATAGTTTTATAACGAATAATTATTTAATAACTACAAATTAACAAAATATTAAATACAAATTAGGCGATTTGCATGCAATTTCTTGTGAAGCAAGCAACTTCCAATTTGCAATGAAGAAGACGACTTATATTTTGCCGTCGATAATGAGCACAAAATGCCTTGAGCCGCGCGCAAACAAGTCTTTTATTTCCTGATTAAAATCAATTTAAATGTTTCTAGATTCTAAAATTCATTAATGTTGAGATTCTAGTCGATATTTTGTTGATATTTTAGTGTTGACAGCCACGATTGAACTCGCGTCATATGCCAAACTCTTTGTTTCGGATAGAAACAATTGATCGTATTTGCTTTAACTAGTGTTTAATATTATCTAATGTATATTTAAGTTATGACTGATTATGTTTTATCTGAATCGGTGATTTTCGTGAAACTCTGGAGGATTGCTATTAAGAAGAAATATGTAATCTTTACACGATTTATATACAGTCGAACCTCGATAACTCGAACCTCTACAACTCGAATACACCTCTATAAGATGAAAATTTTGTTCATCCCCTTCCGCTCCGCTGCGGAAAACCTCTATAAATCGAAATAAAACCTACCTTAACTCGAATTATTTGTCAGGCATTTAGATATATATTTTACCTCTGTAACTCGAATTTAAAGTAGCCAGACCTCTACAAG